ATTACATGTTAAAGATTATTTAAATTGTTAATGTTTTATGTCTTAGTTAATGTTTTATGTCTTAATTTGATTACCTCCATTTTTATTATAAATTTGTTAAATTAAACAGATAACATGCCAGTAGGCAATGCTTTCACTCAGAAGGTTCTCTAATGGATGTAAAAATAAAAAATTAAAATAAAAAAACTGTGTTCTTAAAGATGTTTCACCAGAAATAATCTTAAATTATCTTAATTTTAAATTCTTGCATTTTTTTGATCGAATCTTGAAATGAAAAATCTTCATTACTACTGTATGTTACTACTGTTTGTTTCTTTTAAAATACATTGATTTTGCCATGAAAATAGCCATAGCCATAGCCATAAACAGACAGCATTTGTGAATTTGTGAAAAATCAAAATAGTGAGAAAATCACCTTTAAAGTTGTCCAAATGAAGTTCTTAGCAATGCATATTACTAATCAAAAATTAAGTTTTTATATATTTACGGTAGGAAATTTACAAAATATCTTCATGGAACGTGATCTTTACTTAATATCCTAATGATTTTTGGCGTAAAAGAAAAATCTATAATTTTGACCCATACAATGTATTTTTGGCTATTGCTACAAATATACCCCAGCGACTTAAGACTGCTTTTGTGCTCCAGGCTCACAATTTAGAAAAAAATCTAATGGATTTCATAGGGCCCTAAAAATGTTATTTTTGTTAAACTTTTAATAAATTATAATTAAATTGTATTAGTTTCATGATTTAGGCAGCTAATTAGACATGCTTTTTGATTACTATAATTTAGTAGAAATTCGTGCAGAAAAACTAAAACTGAAAAAAATCCAGAGAAAATGATTAGAGAAAAATAAAAAACAGAATTTGGGTGAAAGAAATCATTTCATAGGGCACTACACACATGCAAAATAAAGTCCTTAAAAATGGTTCGCCTTTAATGAACACAGCTTTTTTTTGTGCACACAGGCGCTCAATTTTCAGGGACGGCTGAAATATCTTCACAGACAAGACCGGACCACAGAGGGCAAAGAGCTCGCCCTGTTTGCCACCGCCACCCCCGTTCAGCCCCCTGCTCTCCTAGAAATCAGGACCAACACCCTCTTTTTCCAGACCAAACACAAACTGGATTTTACACCAGTGGGTGTGGACACCAGGTGAGGATCTGCACTGACTTCATTATGGAGGGTATGTGTCACTGTTAACTGTTTGTTTGTGTTTCTTCCAGGGGGAAGGTGGTTCTGGGTTACACTGAGCAGGAGCTGTGCATGAGAGGATCTGGATATCAGTTCATCCATGCTGCTGACATGATGTACTGCGCTGACAAACACTTACGCAGTAAGATTTCACTCGCATTCTAGCGCACCGTTGTTCTGAACTCATGTACTTGGATGTTCTGAGGTTCGTGTCTCTGTGTTACAGTGATGAAAACAGGAGAGAGCGGTTTCTCCATCTTCAGGCTCTTGAGTAAGACCGGCGTGTGGATCTGGGTCCAGGCCAACGCTAGAATGGTGCTCAAGGCAGGCAAACCCGACTTCATCATCTGCCATCAGAAACCCTTGACGTGAGTGCTCTTCACTTCCTCTGACACTCACAGCTGCCCACTTCCTGCTGTATTTCTATATTTTACATAGATCTGTTTTTTGGTCAATTTAACAGTTAAACGTTTCTTTTTTTTGCTGGTTATATAAGCTTTTTTATCAAAATATGAAACCATTTTTTTTTTTAATCATTTCTAACATTTTTTATGTTTTTATTCCTGA